ATATCCACAAGTGAAACTGTCTCAAATTAAATATTTATATATTCAACATGATCTAACTACTAATATAATACTTGTACTTTTTGTGAAATTATTCTTAATTTTATTCTTGTGGGCTTCAATTGTATCATCTTCACAAATTCACATGGAGACACCTGTAGTGAGCAGCTAGATGACTAGATCCACTACCCAAAAATATAAAAAAAAAAAATAATAATAATAATAATAATAATAATAATGAGATTGAATCCAATAATGGAGCCCCTGTAACCTTATTACTCCGTATTATACATACATTACTCCGTAGGTAATGGACTCTCCATATTATGCAATGTCAAGGCCCACGAGTAGACATGACAATTAGGTGGGTTTGGGGAGGGATTCACCCCTAGCTCCGGTCGCATATCTAAAATGTTCCCTCATCTCCATATTTAACAAAATGGAGGTTGTTTGTTACACTTTTTAAGCTTATCCTAAGTCAATATTAAATATTATCGGTAAAATTTTAATAAATACAATGTCTAATGCAGAAAAGTGCAATGAGCGAGTTGCATTGTACATCACATTGGAGTAAAGGTACTGTGTATGTTCATGTTATCATGATAAAGGATATTTTATTTGATCCAAAACAATGAAACATACATATAGGCGACAGTTCAAAAACAAAGGGACGACATTCAAGTGGAAAGTAGGAATAAATCTTGCACATTCAATTCCGAATCTAATCTCATAATAAGCAAACAATGCACTAGTTTTGATCAAAAATGCAGTGAAAATTTCATAGTTAAATCAAAGTTTATTGCCACCGCAAAAAAAGTGCAACTGAAACATGAAAAAGTTCATCGCATTGAGCGAAAAGTCGTTCGCACTTTGCATGGCTACACCAATTTTTATTAAAATTCTCCCCTATTTTGTGGACATAATCTATACTTCATGGAAAATATACTCACAAAATTTCATAAAAAATAATCACCGAGAACCACCATATAAGGCAAATTCTGCATGGATGTTTCAGATTAGGAGCTCCTGATCCTGATCAACGAAAAAAGCTAGGTTAATTTCGGCCATAAATAAGACAAAGCCTTCGTGTTCATTGCCGGCCACATTGTTCAGTGGTTGAGTGCTAACCTTTAATTAGTGATACTTCAATTCGTATTTCTTTTATCTATAAAATTATCAAATTAAAATAATACTCCCCATTCACCATCCTCAAAAAATTTGCTCTTCTTATTAGTATAATAGTATAGCTTTTATGCAAAATAAATTTAAGATACGTGTTTTCTTCTCATTGTCCTCGGTGCAACTGTGTAAGCAATATATAAATAGTCATGACGTGTTGTAGTTTTTTCTGAAAGCAACGTGTTGTAAAGTAGTTCTTAACTTCTTTTAATTCATTTAAGCAATAATATAAATTATACGGAGTAATAATATTCTATGCTCATATATTTGCTCCGGCCACGCACTTAATATAAATTTTAGTTGAAATTATTAAAGACGATCATGCTTTGTTTTCTCATTATCAGTGTGAGCGATATGCACATAACGTGTTGTAGTTCATTTAATAAAAGTATGAGTGGTTATGAATTAACCAATAAATTCTTGATTTATTTTTTATTAATTCTTATCATGTTGCATGTTGTGTCTGATCTGTTACTCATCCAGAGGGACTTATATGCTAACTAAGAAGTTAGATTACAGAGTAATAATAGAATTGCTCGGTAAACAACTTACCATTCATTTTAAGTTTACAGAGTAATAATAGAATTGCTCGGTCAAATAGTCAAATACCCTATTATTTTCAATGCATTACTTAAGCTCTTTTAATTTAAAAAAACATCATATAAGTATGTGCACTTTTTAAATACAACCAATCAAATCATTTTCACCTACTAAGTAGATTATTTTTTTAAAAATAAATTAGGAGTATTCATAACTTTTTAGAATCTCATATAAATATGAAAAATAATGTAATAATTTAAAAAATATAATAAATGTAAAAAATAGATAAATATTTCAAAAACGTTAAATAAAAATAGAAAATCAGAAACTATAAAAAAGTGAAAATGTAAAAATATAAAAATAAAATGTAATAAATTCAAATTTCAAATATAAATAAAAAAAATAAATTGATGCAGAATATACAAAAAAATTCAAATTTTCAAAAATATTGACTTTGACATTCTAAAAAATTTCACAATTTTTATCTATATTTCTTCAAATTTCTAATTTTTAGATTTTGTAATAAAAAACTCTATTATTATAGATCAAAAACTGAATAAATGATGAAATTGATCAATTTTTAAAGTAAGCGTGCATATATGATACTCTCTCTGTCCCACAAAACTTGGTCAATTTGACTTTTCTTAGTCAATGGTAAAAAAGTTTGAACAATAATTTTATATTACATTTGTGTGGATTTATAACTTTTATATACTTTTATGAAAATATTTTTAACAAAGAACATTTTCATATAATATTCATTTTTGAAATAATTTCATATTAAGAAATATAATTGATCAAACTTGACCATCATTGATCACGAAATGTCAAATTGACCAAGTTTTATGGACGGAGGGGTATTTTTTTGTACATGGGATTAAATGATGAATTTGAAATAATAGAATACCTTATTTGACCTTTTGTCTTTCTAATTTTTTAAATTGACTTAAACCTTTAATCGAAATATGGTTTTGTTCACCTCTATAAAGTATGATGTTCACCCCGTTCTTTCATGCTTGCCATGTGGCGATGTAATTCTTTTTCATTTATATTCTAATTTTTATAGAAATATATCGACGACAACATCCGACAAGAATCAATCCATAATATCAAAATTAGAAATCATTGGACTGACAGAGTCATCGTGATTTACATCCTCTCATATGTTTTGTCGGATTGCCATCTCGATCAAGACAATCGTTGTTGTTTTCCCAAACTTGTAAGGTAGATTCTATGGTGCCTAAAAGGTATCATATCTTTGTTCACTTGGACCAATCAGAATGTTGCAGTTGAATTATTTAAATCTAAATTAAAAATGATTTAATAATTTGGACCAATCATGTGAGTGGTAGGTACGATACTTCATTTTTTAAATAGGTACCGGAGTTGTGACCAACTTGTAATGGTGAAGGGATTGTAAATGGAACGGAAAAATTTTGTTCCGGGATTCGAGTTATTTTTAAGCTCAAGCTCTTTGTGACTAAAGATTTGAAGTTTAACCAAGAAATCCATAAAAAAACAAACAGGTCAATTGGATTCAAAACAGACCAGATTAGAGATTACCCCACAAAATAAACCGATTTTAGTTTTTAAAAATCTAATCTGAGGACCCGATTAATTTAGAACCGGATTGAATCCGACTAGTGTTCTGCCTCATAAACATGTTCCCTTGAACAAATGATCTGCGTGCCTCCCACTGATTGGCCGGGCTCTATTTCATCATTCGCCTAATTTGCTACTCCGTATCAATTATTTGAGTGAACATGCGTATAGTAATGCAAACAGTAGGAAATTAATACTTCTATATTTATGGATGATTTTCATTCTAACAGACCATTTGATTATTTTGTAAGACTTGTCATTACATTTGATGAAGTGTATTATTTTAGCTTATTTGTTAAGTATTTTTTGTGATTAAAAATATATATTTGGAAGTATATATAATTGTCTATAAATTCAACAAATCCGATCAATTCGGCTCTAAAAGTTCATCAATTCCATCAAATTCTATCAATTCAGATAGCAGAGTACGCTCAAAGTAGGAGTAAAATATAGGGTGTGTTTGGAACTGATTCTGCTTCTGCTTCTTTTTTAAAGCAGAAGTAGAATTAGAATCAGTTTTCAGAAGCTGGTACATACCAGCTTCTAAAAAAACTGATTCTGAGAGTAAATTAGAGCACCAGAAGTGCTTCTGAAATTTCACCCAAACACTCCAGCTTCTACTTCTGCTCCCTGAAGGAGCAGAATCAGTTTTGAGAATCAGATCCAAACACCCTATAATGTCCAAATGAAAAAGAGCAGTCATCATTTAAAGTTCCCTTGAATAAGAGGCATTATGTGTGTTTGAACAAAAGTATCCCTGTAAGAAATTCTAACCGCCATGACCTGATTGTCGCTGCTGGTCTCCACCGCAAGGCTACTAATCAGACTGTCCGGCGCTACGGCAACCGATAGACTGTTTTGGTTATACTTGTATTAATTATATTATGTGTAGAAAAGTAACGTGCATCCTACTTATTAGGGAATACTATTACTATCATACAAGTATAAAACATTGACTTCTATTTAGGGAATACACCCGTGTTTTACTCTTATTTAGGAATATAACTTTTCAGATAATTGCATGTTATGAAACGGGTCTAATATTATGTCAAGATCCAGAATTCTTGAAAAAAAAAACCCAAGATGTACTACCTCCGTCCCCTAAGTTTGGGACAAATGGTTGTGGCATTATGTGTGGTTTGTATTGAATTGATAAAGTATGAATAAAGTAGGAATGAATTCTAATCACTCAATTATTATCAAATATGATATGAGACAAACTTAGTGAGACGGATGAAAAAGGTAAAACGGTACAAACTTAGGGGACGAGGGGAGTATGTATTACATTTGGTTCATATTAGTCTACTTATATTTAAATAGGACTCCATGGTTGTAGAATTGAGGTCCATGCATTTCTACAAATAAGCTCCATTAGGGCTTACTAAGCTCCGGGTTCGAATCTCGGCAACTGCGATGAGGGGTTATTATGCTGAAAAATGCATAGGACTTCTGCAAGTACCGGGGACAGAGCCCCACTCTCTATCTGTCAGATTGTGATTATAGTCTAATTTACATCCTCACATCGTGCCGTCCGATCGGTGTTGGGGGCCCTCAGGGATGGGGTGTCATTCTTTTTTTTACAAATAAGCTCCATTATTGAATTTGTGCGACGACCATACAAAACAAGCCAGCTGCTCGAGTATATATATAATAAATACATTTCACATATATAAAAGACCTAGCTAGCTAGTTCAAAGCTTTAGCTTTAGCTAGCTACTAGTGCATGCATCATCTCCTATTTTCACTTCTCTCTCACATGCATTATGCATATTAAAATGATCACTACAAAGAAACTAAGCTACCACAAAGATGATCAATGCATGCGCACATGCATGTTACCAAAAACTAGCTAGTTAATCATTAAGAGTCAATAATTTATGCTCTGGCTAAGCTAGCCCCTAGCCCCTATCCAACATTTCCAAATCACTAAGTAAAAACAAACACAAACCTCTAAACTTCCATCCCCTTCATCATCATCACAAGCTCTCATATAGCTAGGCAGATTCTTCAGAACAATTTAATGTCATTTTTTTCCTTTTTAAAATATATATATAGCACTGTACATGCATACATATATAAAATGAATTAGTTGGTGTTTATTTCTTGAATGGGGAAGTTGAGATTTGGTAAGATGTTAGACAGTTTGTGTCTTTCCTCTGGGTCATCTGGAGGGTGTTGTTTTTGCATCAATGGTTTTGATGAAAGTCAAGTTGCTATGGTTGACTATGAGAAAAGGCCACTCATGGATAATCCCTCCAAGGATGGGCATCAGCTTGCTAATAGGCTGAAAGATGTTATTTCTGATGGACCTCACACCTTAGCTTTTCAGCTCAAGCCTAAGGTAATTAACATACTAATACTTGTGGTGCATTTATATCTAGTATATATGAATGTAATTAATCAATTCCTGTTCGTTACGTTATTTAATTCATGTTATGTTGATTAAATAAAATTTGATATTTCATCGAAGATCAACCTGACATGCACACTAGATAGTAACGAGGATGTGTGATTTTGGAGTAGAGAGATGGTAGTGTATAAATTAAACATACTATATACTAATATACATATGCATTTTTTTAATAATTATACCTCATCAAAAAAAATCGAGGCCCCCCATTTACCCTTTGTTTATTTGTTAGCATATATCTTTATTTATACTTCTTACATGATAGAGGTGTCTTGATTCTAAATAATACTCCGTACTACGTATTAAGATCTGAAAGTTTATATTATATCAAATATTTGCAACTTTAATTTATATTAGATGTTATATTGTTTTTGATTTGATATATGTGGAATGACTTAAGACAGGTGTCTGTATGTGAGGTGTCAAACTCAAATCATTTGGGTGGTCATAATTTATGTATGTTGTTAATATTTTGACACGTAAAATGGATTGCGCATAGATGGTGGTCCTCAGGGTCTCCATGCACTGCTGTGGTTGCGCCAAGAAAGTGGAGAAACACATATCTAAGATGGAAGGTAATTAATTAAGTAATTAAGTATGTTCAATATTTTATTGATTTCTAGTTGTAGAGATGATACCATAAAAAATGGGAACTTAATTAAATGCGAAGAAAACCATTGAAAATTAAGATGTTTTGTTTTGGACTGAAAATTGATGGTCTCGTCTGGTCTGTTTAAGTCTGGTCTGGTCTGAACTGGTCTAGTCTGGTAAACGTCTAGTCTCTGTGTATTTTATAACTATAGAATTCTGGTCTGGTCTGGTCTGGGACTGAAAACAGTCCAAAAGAAAATATCCTTAAACACTTTGCGAGAAAATTAAATGCATAGAAGTAATTTAAAGTATTTGCGTAGTATTAAATAGGAGAAGCATTAATTAATGCATACCATCAGCTAATATGATCCAAATGTAATAATAATCAATGATCAAATACTCAATGACGGAATGTCCCCTGATCGACGAGAATTCCATGAGGTGAATTTTATTTTGCCCAAAAATAATCAGTTGTCGATTTGCATTAATATCAGCTACTAATTACATCTGTTGAATGTTATTTTGTCATGTGCTACATCAATCAACTAACTAATTATGGACCGGCGACGAAGACCCTATTTAATTAAGAAATCGCCTCAAATAACCGGAAGTAAAAAGTAAACGTTTGAGATTTGAAAAAGTTTTTATCCCCAAAATGTGACCAAGGAAGTATAATACCATGTTTAGGATAACAATAAATCCCTTCTATTTAGGGAAAAACATTACTTTAATTTTGGGATCCTAAACATTGTTACTCTTATTTGGAGTAGTATATGTTCTTTTTAGGGGAAATTCACGAAAAATGATAAAAACGTTTGAAAATTCCAAAATGGAAGCGTGGTAGATTTTTCCATCCCTAAAACAGATACGGAGTAAGGATGTTTTCTTTTGGACTGAAATTTGCTGGTCTTGTCTGGTCTGGTCTGAACTGGTCTGGTAAACGTCTGGTCTCTGTGTATTTTATAACTATCCAAGTCTGGTCTGGTCTGTTTAAGTCTGGTCTGATCTGGTCTGTTTAAGTCTGGTCTGATCTGGTCTGGTCTGGTCTGAGACTGAAAACAGTCCAAAAGAAAACATCCTAATACTTTTTTGGAATTTTATCAATCCAGATCCTGAAAAATAGATAAATTATCAATACGAGACCTGAAAGATGAAACGTATCAATATAAGACTCGAATGATAGAAAACTATCAATTTAGGACCTGAATGATTGAAAACTATCAATCTAGGACCTAAGTTTGCATGATTTTTTTTAAATTTTTTAAATATTACTCCCTCCGTCCCAGAAAGAAGTTCCTCATTTGACTTTCACACACTTTTATGCAAGTAAACTTACCAGGGGTAAATTTTACTGTTTTGACACTGTTTCGACACTGTTTGGCACTGTTTGACACTGTTTTTCACTGTTTGGCACTGTTTTGATGTAAATAACTTTCCATTTAAGGAAATGGGAACTTAAATTAGGGAGATCCAAATAAGGAAAGTGAGAACTTTTTTCGGGGACGGAGGGAGTATTTAATTTTATTAAACTAATAAACTTTTGTGAAGAAAAGTTTATCAAACATTAGCAATAGAATTAATAAAAAATTAAATAAATCAAGGCCTATGAAAAGTTAGGTCCTAGATTGATAGTTTTTCATCATTCGGGTCTTATGTCGATATATTTCATCTTTCGGATCCAGGATTGAAAATTCATCTATCATTCAGGTCCTGGATTGATAAAATCCTACTTTTTATTTAACCATCTTTGACTTTTTGAGTCAAACATGGTAAACTTTGATTCATTATTGTAACAAATATTTTGTATGTTCACGTGAAATTTAATAAATTTATTCTTGAATGATAATTTTTAACAAAGAATAATTTCATATTATCAATACTACCGTATACAAATAACAAATATGTTATGTATGGCATGATTAGCCAAAGTTTAATATTGTTGACTTGAAAAATCAAAATTGACTAAATAAAATCTAAAAAGTGTGGAGTGTCAAAGTTTAAGCACGCTACGACATTTAATTTTGGCATATACATGCATTTGGATTACTTGAGGGAATAAGGATGTTTTTACTTGGATTGTAATTTGTTGGTCTGATCTGGTTTGGTTTGGTCTGGCATGATCTGATAATGTCTGGTGTAATTGTATTTTTGTACTATCCAAATCTGGTCTGATCTAGTCTGGTTTGATCTGGTCTGAGACATAATACATCTGAGTAAAAATATCATAAGGGAAAATAAATTTTTGAGTGATTTTTTAACAAATTTTCGTATAATTGCAATGCCATAGGAGTGACATCGTACCAAGTGGACTTGGAAACGAAGATGGTGGTTGTAATAGGAGACATCGTCCCTTTTGAAGTGTTGGAGAGTGTTTCCAAAGTGAAAAACGCCGAGCTATGGACCAATTAATACTGCTGCCTCCGTTTAATCTGTCTCCAATGCCTGTACCTGCTTTTTAATGTACAAGCATTGTACCGTACGTTACACCTTACACCCAACATAATTAAAGTTTGATTGTACAAAATATTATGTATAAATAAATTTTCAAATGATGATACATTCTATACATGTGTCCTCCAAATTTAAAAAGTAGTCTATGCAACATCCTCATAGATTATTTGAGGAGTAAGTTGTTGATGTAGCTTTAATTAGGGGATCATAATTTTGTGGCGAAGATTATTTGGTGATATTATTTCAAAAAATAATCCAGGATTGAATTATGAATCTAGACTAGATTATCTCAAGATTATTGGGAAAGTAGCATTAATTACTGAGTGCAGGACCTACACAAAGGTTATGTTTGGCACACAAAAGGCTCTAGCTTCTAGTTTTTCTATTCTTTAAAAAGACCTTAAAAGACTCTAGTTGTATGTTTGGCATGACATTTTTTAAGAGCTCTTAAAAAATTAAAAGATCTTTTTTAAGATGCTACTGGGTGTAGCATCTGAGAAAAGCTCGTGACTTTTAGTATTAATTAGTCCTAACAGCGTGTATACCAAACCGAACTAAATCAAACAGCCAGCTTTTACCAAACAGCTACCACATTTTCTTTTTAAGATCTTTTCAGTCACTAAAAGCTAACAGTTACTAAAAAGCTCGTAAAAGTATCTTTTTAACTAGTTGTGCCAAACATACCCAAAATTTGATTATTTTGAGATGATGAATGATACCCCCTCCGTCCCAAAGTGGGAGAGTCCCATACTTTTGGGGCTCAAAGATTAAGGAAGCGGTTGAAAAAGTAAAAGTTGTGGTTGAGATTTGAGTATAATAAAGTGAAACAATATTATGTATAAATAAATTTTCAAATGATGATACATTCTATACATGTGTCCTCCAAATTTAAAAAGTAGTCTATGCAACATCCTCATTCATAGGATCATTTGAGGATTAAGTTGTTGATGTAGCTTTAATTAGGGGATCATGATTGAGTGACGAAGATTATTTGGTGAGATTATTTCAAAAAATAATCCAGGATTGAATTATGAATCTAGATTATCTCAAGATTATTGTGAAAGTAGCATTAATTATTGAGTGCAGGACCCACAAAAAATCTGATTATTTTGAGATGATGAATGATACCCCTCCGTCCCAAAATGGGAGAGTCCCATACTTTTGGGGCTCAAAGATTAAGGAAGCGGTTGAAAAGGTAAAAGTTGTGGTTGAGATTTGAGTATAATAAAGTGAAACAATATGGACCACATCTTTCTTTCCTAAAAGGGAATTGAGACTATCATTTTGGGACATCACGAAAAGAAAATACGTGACTCTCATTTTGGGACGGAGGGAGTATAATTTTGAAGGTGTGAGATTATTTAGAAAAAATTTCCGTGTCAATCTACGTGTCATTGAAAATCCGTTTATTCAAGTAGCATCAATGTGGATGCTCTTAGATATGATCTAAATCATTCTTGAATGGAGTGTAATTGATGAAATTGTGATGGAAGTGGTGAAATGTTGAATCTATTGTATTAGAGCATCCATATTCTTTTATTAAAACTATGGAGTATAAAAAAGTACACAAAATATAGTTAAACAGTCATATTCAGCAAGTTCGGTAATAAAAATAATTTCTTTCTTACTTATTTTGATTATTACAAAACTCAGCACGTGAAAATAAATGTCATATGTTTGGTAAAAATGTTGACGAGTAAGAGTGATTAGACGAAAAGAATTAAAAAGAGAGTTACAATGCAGGCTTTGATTTTGATGCATTTAAATAAATAAAGCGCGTAATTGAAATATAATATGATCACATAATTTGATCTTTTATTATAAAGACAATGAAAATAAATTTGAATTTAAATAAAAAATAGCTATGGCAAGGAAGCATGGGCGTTATTATTATTATTGTTATTGTTGTTGTTGTTTTTTGAAGAGTGCCGTTATTACATTGAATTGGTCATTTATAGCATATACGGTGTACACGGAGTGGGCACATTAGAGCATTCTCAATGGTTACTTTTAGGGAGTTGCTTGCAATTTTGAAGTTACTAGCTTATCATTGGAGCATTGATCTTCCTAACATGAGCAATGAGAATATTAAATATAGCATTATAAATAATAAATGAAGAGAAAAAAGGTTATATCTAATTATTGGAGTATATTTCAATTTTACTACAAAAGCTTACGTGGCTAGTCAAGCTACGAGGGCAATTAGCTAACCGTTGGAGATGCTCTTAAAGCTTTTGCTATCAAAGAAACATGATTGCAAAAAAATAAAAAATAAAATAAAATAAAATCAGTTTTGGATGTAAGAAATCGGTTTTCAAGTACTACGTATTACGTAACAAATTTTTTTGGGAGAAGGGTCAAGAGTGGAGTTCTATTTTGTTCACCCCCTTCATGGAGGGTGAACATCACCCTCTCCCTCCAACACATGACACTTGGCATTACACTTGCAAAATTTAAAAGTCTTGCCAAGTGTCATGTGTTGGAGGGAGGGGGTGATGTTCACCCTCCATGAAGGGGGGTGAACAAAATAGAACTCTCAAGAGTGACACTAAGGTTTTTAATGAAGCTCGAATATGACATTCAGGTTTTCGGTGGACCAAATAAACACAATTTAAACCTTTTACCATCATTTCTAACCACCAACTAACTTTCCCTTTCAAACTACCGTTACCCTGGTTATGAAGCCCCTTCCCTTCCCAACAAGAGCGAAAACCCAGAAGCGGAAAGATGAAATTCAGCCTCCGAGAGATTCAGGGAGGAAGAAAATGGGTAGAAATGGAGGCGTACCATATCATGTAAGGACCGCTCTGATCTGCCTCGAATTCATACCGAGAACTCCTGCCCCTAAAAACTCTCACAGTTTTGTATAAAGAAAATCGGGAAGGAGGGAAACTCGGATCTTCGACTTGAGTGCTGTCGCCGGTGAAGAAGTCGTCGCTGGCGAATGTCCTCTGGGTGTCTGGGACCGGTGAGCGTGAGCCGCAATTGATGAAGTAACGGTCAGGTGGACTGTAAGCTTGGGAGTGAAGGGGGGAAGGAAATGATAATGCAGAGAAGATGAAGAAACGAAGAGGGAGTCATTATCATGGATGGATGATAATGGCGGTTTAATGATAGAGAAGAGTATCTGGAATTCTGGATGGTAATGGGAGTAGAACAACTAGGATGCAGACATGGACTTCATTTTGACGTGCAGATCTTGCCACTCACTACCTTTGGAAAACCGACTTTATTGAATAAGGCAGGGAAGGGGCTTTGTAAACGGCGGGGTAACGGTAGTTTGAATGGGGAAGATAGTGGGTGGTTAAAAATGAGGGTAAAAGGTTTAAATTGTGTTTATTTGGTCCAACAAAAACCTAAATGTCATATCCGAGTTTCATTAAAAACGTTAGTGTCACTTTTGGCCCTTATCCAAAATTTTTTTAATTAGGCACATTTAAAAAAGGCACTTGAATGCAAGTAGAAAGGTGGGTTCGATTAAATTGTTTTCAAATTTTTCTATGAACAAGTACAGAGTAACATCTTTTACTACTCTCTAAAATTGTGCCGGCTTTAGGAGCAAGGCACCTATACAATGGCCTAGGGGCTAGGACACCAAATTTAGGAGGGGCCCCACTTTTTTATAAAAATATTAAATGTATATCCAGATAAATGTATAATATATTAATATTAATGTTGTTACCAGATGGACCACCGAGCTTCCAAATACACATAGGCCATAGCGGCCAATTCAAGTTGTGTGCCGTTGCTTATCAAAATTACTTCTGTAGTCAAAATTACAAAAGTAACAAAATAATTCAATTCATGCCACTGGCCGGATAGTGAAAAATACACCGTACAACCGGTTGTACCGTGCGCACGGTACAGCCGGCCCTTTTTTGTCTGCGCTTCTTCTTCGATCGATTTCGCACCCAGCTTCGCACCAGCAGCTTCATATATCGTCTGGTTCTTTGATCTGGCTTCGCACCTGGTTGATTATACGCTCATCACTCGTCTCTTTCTCTTTCAGGTTGTTGCTCGTCGTTGCCTCTCACCGCTCATATTCAATTTTAATGTGCTCATATTCTTTTTTTCTCTTTTTCATATTCAATTTTGGTGTTTGAGATTGTGACTTTGGAAGACAAAGAAGCCTACTGCAGACAAAGGAATCCCTACTGCTATTCATCTCAAATGAGTTTTATATTAAACTTAAATGAGTATACACATAAAAGAAATGAACATACACAGCTGAACATTAAACACATTAAAAATGAGTTTTATATTAAACTCCGATGAGTATACACTTCAAAGAAATGAACATACACAACTGAGTATTAAACACATTAACATGTGTTTTATGTTAAACTTAAATGAATATAACCTCCAAAATTAATGAGCATACACAAATGAGTTTTTGAACTTTTTTATACTCATTTTGTAAATTATGTATGCTCATTTGGTACTGTTTTATGTCCATTTAAAATGATGCACATATCAAATATAATGCCCAAAATCAATGAGCATACACAAATGAACTTTTGAATTTTCGGATACTCATTTTGTAATTTATGTATGCTCATTTGATATTGCTTTATGTTCATTTTAAAATGATGCACACATCAAACATAACGCCCAAAATCAATGAGCATACACAAATGAAGTTTTGAATTTTTTGATACTCATTTTGTAAATTATTTATGCTCATTTGGTACTGGTTTATGCTCATTTTAAAATGATGCACATATCAAACATATAATACTACATTAGATTGACATATTGAAATTAATTATAAACACAATTTAAGAATTTTTTATAAACAAAAATTAATAAAAAGAAACTGAATTAGAAGATATGATGCATAGATCACTGGTGCTCATTGTTAGGCTCATAATACTCAGAAGAATAAACCCGATGCTCATCCAAATTACATCAATGCTCATTTAAGAGAAACCATGAACTTCATCAAATTTACAAAAATGCCACCGGCTGTACGGTGCCAGCCGTACAGCCGGCTTTATGGTATACGCCTCCGGCCGGATAGCCCAATAAAAGATTAGGAATAATTTAATACGGAGTAGTCTATTACTCTAGATCATGATCCTAAGGCAAAGCTCATAAGAGTAGCCATTAGGGCAATAACGAGTCGTTATACCGTGGGAGCAGCCCATCGTGAGCATGCTGCTCCCAAAGGCAAAAACATGTGTTACTGTTCACGCGGATGAACAATAACTTTTTTTGTTGTTATTTTCATTGTCCAGTAGCAGACCGATGTA